AAAAAATATTTATTAAACAAATTTCCATAAAAAACACTTTTGATAAATTTCCTGATTATTTAACCTCAAAATTTCATTCACTTTTACGCTTAACACCAAAAAGTGAGACTAATTTTAAAATTTATTTTTCATTTATAAAACCCATGGATTGTATGGAAAAGTTTGCGACAAATGTCTTCTTCCAATCACATCACGTCTCGCGACTAAAACGGGGAGAAATCCTCGGAAGCGGTCGTCGATTCAGGGGATGTACCGTTTGGTTCACCGGTCTGTCTGTCCATCCATTCTCAGCATTAAAATCACTTTCATTTGGCATAACTAATGGCCAAATCTCTTGACAGGTCTGTCGGGCGCCGGGAAGACGTCGATAGCGTTCGGTATCGAAGACTTTTTGTGCCGAAACAAGATCTTCACGTATGCCTTAGACGGCGATAATATACGTTACGGTCTGAACAAGGATTTGGCCTTCAGTTCGGAGGACAGGACTGAGAATATTCGCCGCATCGGAGAAGTGGCCCGACTTTTCGCCGACGCGGGCGCTATAGCTCTGACCAGTTTTATCAGTCCGTTCGCCGCCGACCGCAACAGTGCCCGCAAAATACACGAAGACGCAGACCTGCCCTTCTTTGAGGTGTTTGTCGACACACCTCTCGAAGTGTGCGAACAGAGAGACGTGAAGGGCTTGTATGCGAAGGCGAGGGCCGGAAAGATAAAGCAGTTCACGGGAATCGATAGTAAATATGAATTCCCAGAGAAACCGGATTTAGTTTTAAAGGCCGGCGAAGACTCCATCACTGATTGCGTTAATAAAGTTATTGATCTTCTCGTCAAGAATGTAAATTATTTATATAATTATTTAATATAATTATTTATTTAGACAAATATTTATAACTTTTTTTTTATAAATTTTAATCAAATAGAAAATAATCTCAGAGGAGATAATACGGGAGATTCACGAACTCTTCATTCCTGAAGCAGAGAAAAGTCACTATCGATTGATCGCTTCATCGCTTCCATCCATTGAAATCGAGACAATCGACTTGCAATGGGTTCAGGTGTTGTCCGAGGGTTGGGCCACACCATTGAAGGTAAACATTATCTGTCAGTTAACTAAATAAAATCGTTAAATAAACAGAGATCTTAATCCAATGATAACAGGGTTTCATGAGAGAGACTCAATACCTTCAATGTCTTCATTTCGGAGCCATAATCGACGAGACTCTTCACAATCAGACCATTCCTATAGTGTTAGCGATTGACGACCAAAACAAAGAGCGCATCGAAAAGTCAAAGAATATTTGTTTGCTTTACAAAAACAATTTGATCGCAATCTTAGAGGACATCGAAATCTTCGCGCACCGGAAGGAGGAGAGGGCGGCCGCGGTGTTCAAGACGACCAACAGAGGCCATCCGTCCATTAAGATGATCTACGATAGCGGCGATTGGTTAGTGGGAGGAGATCTCAAAGTGTTCA